ATATTGACAATAGGACTATATTAAGCATTTAAGATTATATAGTAATATACATATAAAAGATTAAAGGATAAGTAATAGAATAGGAAATATTTTGCAACACATTTTAAAAAGGGTAAATAGTTTTGTTTTCTTTTTCTAGGGAAAATATTCCACAAACATTTAATCCAAAAATGGATAAAGAATACCAAAAAGCCATTTAAAGCTTTTTAAAAATAATAGAAACAGGCAAGAAATATACAAAAAGAAGTTTAGTTTCAACAAACAATAAAGTAACAATTAAATCCCACATCATTGTCACAATCGGGGTAATAAGTATTAAAAATAATGGTCATATCAAGTATTGGTGACTGTGATAGCAACTGGGTATTCATAGGCCCTTTTCTTCATCTTTTTAAAGCAGTCCCTTTAGCATATTTTGCAGTGCCGGTTTGGTGGAGGAGTATTCTTGGAGCCTTGTTTTGTCTGGGAAACTCCTTGTTTTGCCTTCCATGTTAAAATGGAAGAGCAGCCTTGGTTGCAGGCCTTTGCTTTTCATTGCATGGAATATTTCTTGCCATTCCCTTCTGGCTTGCAGTGTTTCTGTGGAGAAGTCTACTGCTGGCTACACCAGGGCTCCCTCATATTTTACTACCTGTTTCTCCCTTGCTGCCTTCAGGAGTCTCCGTTTGTTTTTGCCTATTTGCCATTTTAATGACGATGTGTCTTGGAGTGGTCCTCATTGGGTTCCTCTTGATAGGGACCCTCTGTGCTTCCTGGACTTGTGTGACTTTGTCTCTCCTCCAATTAGGGAAGTTTTCCATCATTACTTTCTCCAACAGGTTCTCTATCCCTTCCTCATCCCCTTCTCCTTCTGGGATCCCTGTTATACGGGATCCCAGATATTACTACGCTTCAGGATTTTCTGCATTTCCCTAAATGTCTCTTCACCCTTTTTGAGTCTCTTTTCATTTTTTTTTTGCTCTTTCAGGACCGATTTTCTACCTTATCCTTGAGATCGCTGATTTGTTCCTGTGCTTCGTCTACACTGCTTTAGATTCCTTCTACTGTGTTCTTCAATTCAGAAATCGTATTCTTCATTTCATCTTGTCTCTTATTGATAGTTCCTATGTCCTTTTTCATGCTGATACAGTTTGCAGTAATTTCCTGTTAGTTTCCTTATAGTTTCTGATAATTTTCTGTGAGCTGACTGAGCTCATTGAGCTTCGTTAGAACTGTTGTTTTGAATTCAATATGTGATAGTTTAGTGGCCTCTATTTCATTCAGTTCTCTTTCTGGGGCTTCCTCCTTTCCCTTCGAAGGGGGGGCGGTGTGTGTTTCTTTGTCTTCCCATGATTTGTGAGACTCTTCTTTTTCGCTTCTGCTTCTTAAATTGATCTGTCTTGATTTCCTGACTCTGTGGTGTGAACTTCTATTGTAGGAGACCACTGTTTTTCTTTCTGGATCTGCCTCTGAAGATGTCAGATGTCGACCCTGTGTGACCTTAGGCAGCCTGTTGAAGACTTCCAGGAATCTACTGTCTGTGGCTGTCTCCTTCAGCTGTTGTAAATCTAGATACTCTGCACTCAGCAGACTGGTTTAAACACCAAGGGTGGGGCAGAGTCCCTACTGGTGGTGGGATTATTGGGTCCTCTCATGCTGCTGCTGCTCGGGGGAGTGGTCCGCCTGAGCCAGATAGCTGCTGCCATATGGGGAATGAGTCAGCACCGGGATCCCGCTAGCTACTCTCTCAGTTCTCTCCCCTAAACCTCCTTCTCCAGTCTCTCTTCAAGTGTCTGTAGACCACCTTGCACCCCGTTTGGCCAGGGATCTACTCTCTGTGGCTGCCACTCTGCACTCAGCAGTCAGGATTTAGCACCACCGGGCCAGGGTCAAGTCACTCCTGGGGCCAGGACTCTCGCATCCTCTCACGCTGTTGCCACTCAGGGGAGTGGTCTGTGCCTGAGTAAGATGGCTGCTGCTGTATGGGGGATGAGTCAGCACCAGGAAACTGCGGGCTACTGTCTCAGTTCTCTCTCCAACGCCTCCTTCCCCAGTCTCTCCTCAGCCATCTCTAGCCCACTCTTCCCCCTCCTTTGCGAGAGACCAGGGTAAGTGGCTTCAAACAAAAATTTATTCGTTGGCCCTTTAAACAGCTCTTTGTGTCTCCAGCTGCCTATGTCCGGCAGAGAGCAACCCTGCCGCTTTTCACAGCTGGCTGTTTTCTGTGTTGTTTTTGGGCTCTGGTGCTGGAGGCTAGAGATCGCCACTTTTGGTTTAGACCCTGCTCTTCTCAGGGGAATCCAACTGGCCGTTTTAATATCCTCTGGTGCTGCCGGCCGTGGGTGCCCCGCCCCCCCTCCTGAGTCTCTACTGCATTCCCGATCAGTTAGATTGCACTACAGCTGATTCCTCTGTCTCCGAGGTTTTAAGGCTCCTCTCTCACTCTTGTTCGGTTGTTTGTTCCAGGTGATTTCTCCACAATTTAGTTGTAATTCCAGGTTGGTCCTGGGAGGAGGCCAGTGTGCATTCCACTCACTCCTCTGCCATCTTCTCTGAAAGCTGATGCTCTTTGACCAACATCTCTCCTTTTCCTACACTCACTGTGGTAACCACATTCCACTCTTCGTTTCTACTCATTTGACTTTTAGAGATTCATGATATATGTGCAGTTATGCAGTATTGCCCTTTCTCTGTGCGATCTGGCTGGGTTACCAAAAGGTGCTCAAGCTCCATTCATGTTCTCTCAAATGGCAGGAATTTCCTTTTTCTATTCCCTTATCTTTAGTGTTGTCACTATTACAGACGTCCACGTTTCCACCTAGCTGCCCACCTCGACCCAGCCCCAGGCCCCTTCCCTCTGGCCATCAGCACAAGTTGTCTGTGTGTGTGGGTTATGCACATATGTCCTTTGGCTGATCCCTTCACCTTCCTCCAACCTGTCCCACCCGCCCCCTCCCCTCTGACAACGGTCCGTTTGTCCATGTGTCCATGCCTCTGTTACCAGATAAAAAGAGCACAAAGAAAGAAAAATTTAAGCTTATGTCCCTGATGAGCGTAGATGCTTAAATCCTCAGAAAATATTAGCAAAGCAGATTCAGCAATGCATTAAAAAAATTCGCACCATACTCAAGTGGGCTGTATTCTGGGGATGCACGGTGGGCCCCATATCCACGCGTCAATAAACATGCTCACCATATGTACAAAATGAAGGGTTCACAGCGTTCTGCTCTGATCTCTTTAAAGCCTGTACCTGGTGTCCTGCTGGGTGCTGTTTCACCTTTCATATTAGTAATATGTGTGTCCTTCCATATTATCTTGCCCTTTCAAGCTAAGATGTTTTATTGTTATTCTATCACAGTTGCCCCCGTTTTTCCCCCTTTGACCTCCTGTGCCCGTTCCTTCCACCTCTCCCACAGTGTGATCAATGCTTTCAAAAACGAATTGTTTACTTAGTTTCTTTCTCTCTATTTTTAATTGTCTTGAAGAGTAACTTCTGTCATTGTCAGTCCATTCCTTGCACCTTCACGTACGAAAATATGCTATTCTTTTACAATTATTTTGAGGCATTAAAACTATCATTTTGTAAAGATTTTTCAATTGGTATTCTATTACAAAGAACGATCATTTGTATATCATTACTCTTTGTACTACAGGGTTTATTTGTTTTTGAATTCACTTCATTGTGGTGACATTGGTTTACAAAGTTACATAGTTTTCAGGGGTACGGTAGTATAATACATCATCCATATACTATATTGTGTGTTCCCCACCCCAAGTTAGGTCTCCTCCCACCACCTTTTCTCCTCCTTTTACTCTCTTCTACACACCCCTGATCCCCTCTCCCCCTGTAATCACCAAACCATTGCTTGTATGTATGAGTTGTTTTTTCTTTGCTTCATCCTTTACCTTTTTAAGCCCAGCCCGTGCCGCCTCCCCTCTGACAGCTCTCAGTCTGCTTTCTCTATCCCTGAGTCTGTTTCTCTTTTGTTTGCAGGTTTATTTTGTTTATTAGGATCCATTATACATAAAATCGTATGGTATTTGTGTTTCTGTGACTGGCATATTTCACTGTGGCATACTTTTCAGCCATAAAAATGAAAAGATATTTCCTTTTGTTACAGCATGGATGGATCCGGAGAATACAAATTATTTTAAATTGAATACTTTTTTTAAATCTAAAGGACAGGCCATATTATATTAGCTGCAGGTGTGCAGCACTGACCTTCTCTTTGGGAATCTCAGGATGTGCTCCCCACACTAACTCCAGGACCTGTGTGTCTCATGCAAAGTTATCACTCAGGATTGAATATCTCCCCCTTTCCACTCACCCCTCCACCACCTCCCCTTGGGCAACCATTCAATCTTCTTCGTGTCTCTAGGCCTGTTTTTGTTCTGTTTGTTTTAATGATTTTAAATATTCCACGTATAAGCAAAATCTTTCTCTGTGTGAACGGTGCCACTCAGCATAATAAGCTCTAGGTCCATCAGGTGGACACAAATGGAGGGAGTGCATTCCATTTTTTGATAGATTTTCATTGCATTGTGCATACATGCCACATCTTTCTATCCTGCCATTTGTGGTTCTAAAGATCCCATGCAATCATTTTCTAAATTCTTTACCTAATGCTTAAGCCATTGATTCTTAGAGGCTTTTTGGTTCCCAATATATTCATTCATTGTTTTCACTTTTCTCACTTCACATGTTAGATGTGCAATATATACATGAATATTTAATCTAAAGCATTCATTTCTCTTTTGGTTCACAACTGATTATTGAGAAGTCTGTTTGCATTGTTTCCATAATGTGGGGATATCGATGATCACTGGCTATAGAATTAGGGGACCACAGAGGGTCCTAAGTGCTACTGGGAATCCATGTCAGGTCACGAGGCTGGTTGGGGTCAAGCTGAGTGTTCCTGGGGACATCTCCTGTGCCTTTGGGGGCCCCTGGAGGCCCCCTCCCTAGAGTGTGAGGTCTGGGCTCTTCCAAGGCTAGTGGACGGCCAGAGCAGCATACACACTGGGCTCAGCCGGGGGCTGCTCTAATGGGGAGAAAGGGGGTGGACTTGTCTCCCTTTTGAGGGTCAGGTGGGTCAGCTGGGCGTAGGTCACCTCCTGGGGGGCAGCAGGTGCAGCAACCTGGATCAGGGGAACAGTGAGAGTGTGAGACATGGCTGGGGCTGGGGACGCCTGAGGCCTAGAGAGGGTGGGCCCCATCTGACTGTCAGTCTCTTTCTGCTTGTCGGCCCTTCTTGTCCCACAATCTCCATGATGAAGAAGGAGAGGAGGCCATTCCCTGCCTGAGCCTCAAGCTTGAGTGGGTCAGCTGGGCATATGTCACTCCCTGGGGGTCTTCATGGGGCCTGTTGTGCTGCAGAGAGACAGTGAGACAGGAACAGGTCTCCTTGATCCCACTGTTGAATCCTCCCATCAAGCATCCACATGGTGTCAGGGTGAGGGTTTAAATTTCAGGTCAGATGAGGTCACTGTCCTGATGGAATCTGCGGGAGATTCTTGAGCCTTGGGGCATCTGGGGCATCGATGGTTCTGACTCGTAACCTAACCCACTGTTCCTGCTCATTTGGCTCCAACCACTCGGCCCCTCTGGCTGAAGCGCATGTCCTGCCTCAGGACTTTTGCACCTGCTGTTTCCTCTGCTCTCCCCCCTCACCACGCACTCCACCCCCTGCTCTTGCTTTATTCTCCTTCACAGCAGCTGGCCCTCCAGGACGCCATGGCCTGTGTGCAGGTGTCTCCCTCGCCCACAGGTGGGCTGGACGAGTGTGGGTACAGGCTGCTCAGGGCTGCGCCGCGGCCCCTACATGGAGCCGGTGCCCAGGGAGCTCCCGTCACGGCGGCTGCGTGACTGAGTGAAGGGGCCCTGAGGCCTGGGGTGAGTCACTCATTCGTGCCTCCTCCTGAGACCTGGGGCTGCCCAAGGTCAGAAAGGGGATGAAGGGCCAGCCCAGGGGACCCCCCAGGAGGGGCCATGAGGTCCCAGGAAAGGGAGGAGTGAGTCACAGCAGGACGACCTGGTGCCCAGAAGGAGAGGTCAGTGTGGACGCTGCTGAGAACCAGGGGAGGGGAGGACAGGGAAGGGACCATTGGAGTGAACTGGACAACAGGAAAGTCCTTGGAGGCCTGGACAGGAGCAGGGGTCTCACCTGAGGGTCCAGTTCCATGCTCTCCCCAGGCTGTGGGCCCATCACAAGAGCATCTGTGGAGGCAGAACGGGGTGTGTCTCCTTACAGGGTCCTCGTGATCCCAGGGTTGGAGACCCACCTGTCAGTGATTAGCCACTAATCGAGGTGAGGTGAGGGGCTAGGTCAGACAGTGTGGATTTCAGTCCCTCTCACCCCTGACCCCGCACCCTCCCAGGGTGTCCCCTTTCTCATGGCCTCTTCAAATCGCTGTGTCCCCTCCCCCAGGACAGCTGTCCCTCCCTTTCACAGAGGGGCCCCTCCAGGGTTGTGCTGTGGGACTGGTGGACAGAGAGTCTCGGTCCTGGGAAGGTAGGGACACATCCCCGTGGGATTCCAGAGGGAGAAGGAAACTTGAACACCTGCTTGGACCTATGTTTCATATCTTAGGAGATTGAAAATAACCAAAAATGACCTAAATTTATTCCTACATCTGTGCTGACATTGTTTTTTCCTACGTTTTCTGATTTGAGATTCTGGAGAAATCTGTTGCTCAGCTGACCTTCTCCATCTTTTTGTTTTTCCTGTCCCAGCTCGCTGAGCCCCTCTCTCCTGTGGCCCCGGTCACCCCGTCCCCTACTCACCTGATGTCCTGTCTTTGCTCTGACGCCGGTGTTGGAGCAAGAAGAAGAGGAGGAGAGCAAGTAGCAGGAAGAGGGTCACTGAGACCCCAATGAGGAAACCTGGGTGACCTTCGGATGGAGTGACATCATGAATGAACCAAGGTGCCATTTAATGGGCACCTACTGTGTGCGAGGCACGTGCCGGGGTCTGTGGTGCATCATCTCTAACCTCGCAGCCTCCTGCACCAGGCATCGCTGACCCACCTTCCAGTCCTCTGGGACTCAGAGAGGTCAGTTGCGTCCCCCAGGGCCCCCAGCCTGGCCGTGACGGGGCAGGGTCTGGGCTCTGGATGTGGGTTCTCAGTGGTGCCCCCAGGGCGACACCAGCTCTGAGCACAGTGCTCCTCCTCTGCAGGGGCCTGTCCTGTCTCATCTGGAGCTGAGGGTCCTTCATTATGACCTGCCCCTCACCCCAGCAGGGACACGGGAGGGGCAGGGATGTGGGGTGAACATTGACACCACATTGGGAAGGTTATGCTGAGGTTCTCTCTTCCTGAGCTTGTGCTACCTTATGCTACCTAATCTCACCACAGGCCTGTGAGCCAGAGGGCAGCAGACAGGAACCTCATACTCAGAGCAGAGAAGGGACCCCGAGCTCCACAGTGGGAGCAACAGAGCTGGACCCTGAACTGAGACCCATGAACTCCCCAGAGACCCTCACTTACTGCTCTGCTCTTCGGAATCTCTGCTGGAGCCTCCTTGATCCTCTGAGCTTCCTGGAAATTGCGGATGGGGGTGAGGGGTCAGGCTGCCTTCTCCCCACTTGAGTCCAGCTATCCCTCCCCCAGGCTAGACCCCAGCATGTCCCTCTGCCACTACCATCCCTCCATCACAGGCCAGCCTCCGTGCCCTGGGTTGCTGTGCTTCCAGCATCTCTGCTTGACTCCCAGCCCCTGGGAGTCAACTCCTGAGTTGTGTGTGGGACACGTGCCCACAGAAAGGACCCTCAGAACTTCCCTGGGCTGCTCTGTGCTCCCTCTGAGCAAGGTTCTCAGGGACTCACCCACTGTGGAGATAGATGCTGTGGTAGAGGGGCTGAGGCCTCCAGAGGGTCCTGGGAATGAGGACAGAGTGGGTGGGGGTCTGCGCCTAACACTGGAGTGAAGAGATCAAGCAGACTCTTCTCCTCCATCTGCTCTATGGCCCTCAAAACACTCCCCCTTCCCTCCTACCACCTTTCTATCCTGGATGGGCGGGCTGGGAGGGTCTTTGGGGTAAGGTCTCTGCTGGGATACCATCACTTAGATCCCCTCATTCTTCATCCAAACTCAGACGCCTGAAGGGGACAGGACCTTGAGCCGACTGAGCTCAGAACAAATGGGGTCAGAGGCCACTCACCTGAGACCAGGAGCTCCAGGCGGTCACTGGGGTGAGACCACTCCACGGGGTGCTTCCTAAAATATCCATAGCATCTGAACATCCACCTGTGGCTGGGGGTCACGGGGCCCACAAGGAACAGGACCTGGGACTGCCCACTGGGGTGAGGCTGTGAGTCCAGGGTCCAGGAGTGCCCGCTTTCCCCTTCCTTAATCAGAGTGAACCCGTCCACTCCTTCCCGTGAGGCACACTGGAGGGTCACGTTTCCTCCTGAGGTCACGACAGGGCTGGGCAGGGCTGCGAGGCTGGGTTTGTCGTAGAATCCTTGGAGAGAAGGAGGCAGCAAGGTAGACGGAGTCAACCTCCCTTACATCCCCTGAGTTGGGGTATGAAGGGAGGCACTCTGAGAGCATCCCTCTTCCTGAGGGTCGATCTTGAGGCTGGGACCCCCTCACCTGTCCGCACCAATTTGAAGGCGTCACTGAGCTCTGACCGGCCAGTGGGGCTGCGGTATTTACAATAATATCTCCCTGCGTAGGATTTTTTCATGGAGAAGTTGACTTTGTCCGTTGTCGCCACTGGTTTCTGTCTGTTCCAGAATTTATCCACATCTTTGTTCCACAGACAGTACTCCTGAGCCTCCAGGGACCCCTGACACCAGATGGTGACAGAGCTGTCTGAAGGGATCACCGGCCCTGGCTCAGCCCAGATGGTGGGCCTGGGGAGGGTCCCTGGAAGAAATCAGAGGCTCCATTAGAAAGCCCTTCCCCTCCCGCATCCTCCAGCTCAGCCCTTGACCCCCTCTTTTATCCCCTCATCCCAGGACATCTTGTTCCCTCCTGAGCCTCAGGGGTGAATTAGGAGGTGGGACAGGGGACCTGAGGAGGACTCACCATCCTCCTCGTGGGTTTTCTGGCCCAGACTCAGCCGTGGAGGCGTCCCTCTCAGATTTGCACCCGGACGTTGGAGCTGATTCCCTTTCCTTAGAGCCTCAACCCCTTGAGCTCCTGAGACTGGTGTTCCCCATGAACAAGCACGTGCCGCTAGGTCATCTTCTGTTGCCCCTTCCGCATGTCCCCACAACTGACTGAGGCAGAGAAGAGCAGGGAGGATGGACATCGTGCCGTCTGCTCTGAGTGGCCCCGCACTATAGGTGGATGGGACCCTGGGCCTGAAGGACAGAGACGTGCAGGATGTGGTGAGTCAGGGGCAGCCTCTGCCCTTCCGCCTTCCCATCTCCGCGACCCACAGCAAGGGGACCGCCCCACCCTGGGCTCTGGGTTTTTCCATGACGAGGGCTCAGGAGCACACCTCATCCTCTGGAGACGCTCCGCCCAGATCTGGGGCCTTTTCTCACCCCCTTGACCTTCTGTCTGCTCTGTGCTCCTTCTCAGAATGGGCGGATGCAGGCTGCGGTCCTTAGCTGACCACCAATAGACTTATTCTAAATAGACTTTGCTACTTTTTTCTCAGGTTCCCACTAACGGAATTTACTTCCATATCTGACTTGTCCGTAAACAAATATTTACTGGTTACCTAGTGCAGCCAAATACCTGTGCGAGAAACGAATACACCCAGGATTCAGGAGTCAGATTCTCTGTATCCTCAGAGCCTCTTTGTAGCAGAGAGTGAACATTCTAAGTCTAAAGTGGAAATGACTTTACTTACACAGGAGAAATGAGAAAAAATTTGAGAACACCTGGGACCATGCCTACACTGTGGGTGAAGGAACAGCTGTTTTTGCGTTTATCCTCATGGAAGGATATATTTATTGATTTTATGGAAAGAGGAAGGGAGAGACAGGCAGACTGACACTGATGAGAGAGAAAAACACCGATTGGTCACCTCTCCTATGTGTCTGGACTGGGCCGAGCTGAGAAACTTTTTTTGGAGTGTATTTGGTGACACTCCAAGCAAGTAAGACCCCAAGCAGAGCTGAGGGAAGGGCTGTTTTATGAGGTGAAACCCTAGGAGGAGGGAGTGAGAATGAAAGGAAAAAAATAGAGGGAACTCTAGTGACAGAGACTGGCGGATAGCAGTGGGGGAGGGTAAGTTGGTGTCTGGTCATGGGCAGGGTCACCCCTCGCAAGGACTTTGGAGTAAGTCTGTGAGGCAAAGGCGTATGCAGGAATGGATGGTCGCAATCAGACCGAGTTATGAATCTCATATGGGCTGTGTATTACAAAGGAACTAGAGCAATACAATATGTGTACATCATATATAATGTCGACACTAATTGAACTGCAATCCTGCGTGTCCAAGAATGTTAGGTCAAAGGCTTACAAGGATTTACCACATATAATGCATTATTTTTAGCTGTCACATCACATGTACAGAAGAGAAAGGAGGAGAAGAAATCTCAGTGTTACTTCTGGTCCTGGGCTTTCAGCGGGAAAGTAGGGAAGGAATTTGCTACTTCTCTACAACTCTAAGACAGCGGATATGGCAGAGAACAGAAATGATCAATAAGAAATGGCGTGAGTGAGTCTGTAGTTGTGTGTAACTGTATATGTGTGTGAGTTTAAGTGTGGGAATGGTTGTGTGAGTATGGGAGGGTGTGTGTGATTGTGTGGGTGTGTACGTCTGTAGGAGTATGTGTGACTATGTGTATGTGCGTGTATGTATCTATGAAGTATATGTGTCAGTCTGTGAGTAAGTGTATGTGTGCATCAGTGTTTTAGATTGTGTGTGTGAGTGACTGTGTGTTCACAGGTAAGTATCCCTGCTGGTGGGTGATAGCAGAAGAGAGAGCTGACGGTGGAGGGTCCCATGTGGATGATCATGAATAGCCATCAGTTCTGAAGAGAGTCTAAATTCACCCTAAAATGAGTGAGGACTATATATGGATTTTGAGCAGAAATGGAGAGATTCCTAAAGACGGTTGGGAAGACTGGGTGGAGGGTGGCTGGGAGAAGAGACAAAGGGTGTGGCACTCAGAACCCAGCAGAAGGTGCAGCAGAAGGAGGCTGCTGCCTTGGTAACATGAAGGGTGACCTTCCCTCCCTGCCTTGTTGACTAGAGACCCAAGAAGCCATCATGACGATGAGCAAGGGGACAGTGGTTGGACAACCCCGAGAGTGTGTGCAAACACTCTGCTCCCCAAGGAGAGCTCAGTGCTTCCTTTTGGCCCTGGAATGCAGGGTCCATGTCTCACACTGTGTCCACCCAACTCTGTGTCTCTGAGAGAAGTCGGCTGTTTCTCTCTCCCTCTCCTTGGGGTGAATCATTTGAGTCATTTCTCACTCCATACAGCAGTTTCGATGTTGAGTGTCACGCTTGTATTTGAACTGTGGAGACTCTTGAGGAGTCTGGAAAAATGGACACTAATGGCAGTTCCGTTAGAGGTAGAAAAATACCCCCCACACTTGAAATATCAGTTGCTGCAATACCACATCCCGAATGGCAGAAGGACCCTTGAACAGCCTGCTTCCTCTGTTGCTCTCAGTTACTCCATTTGTAGCCCAGTGGTACGAACCCACCCCCCGCCCCCCGCAACAAGTGGGCTCAGAATTTACACTGCCGGAGGTATGAGGAAAAGGAAATCAGTCATTGAGATGTAGATGAACGGAGGAAGTTTCAGAAAGTGAAAAGAAGAGATACCCTGCCCGATGGAGCAGAGGGAAGGCAGTGCAGAGTCACGTGATCATGACAGAGACGCCTAGAGTGCAGAGGGCTGACCCTGTTCCTCACGTCACTGGTGCAGGGCCAGCTGCGGAAGGGGGGGTCTATGGACCAAACTGAACTTGACCCCTGCTTTACCCCATACGCAAAAACAATGCGAGATGGATGACAGACTGAAGAGTTATCCAGTCAGTTTTTCTTAACACAAATGTAAAAAATAATCATTGTTTGTGGTAAGCTTTTCTAAAATGATTTTTAAATTGCCATTCTATTACGTTGTCCCATTTCCCCCTTTGCTCTCCCCTGCCCATCACACCTCCTGCTCTCACAGTCCATCCCCACTCTGCAGTGCGTGTCTATGCATCATGCACACGTGTTTTTTCACTAGTCCCTTCCCCTTTCATCCAGTATCATCCCTCCTCCCCCTCCTCTCTGGTCTCTGTCGTTCTGTCCCATGGTTCCATGTCTGTGGTTTGATTATCTTCATTAGTTTATTTTCTTCATCATATTCCTCCTATAGGTGAGATCAAGTCGTATTTGTCTTTCACCGACTGGCTTATTTCACTTAGCATAAGATTCTCCAGTTCCATCCATGATGGGAAAGGTAGGAGTTCCTTCTTTCTTTCTGCTGCATAGTATTCTATTGTGTAAAGGTTCCACAGATTTTATCCCGCTGATTTGCTGGTGGGCACGTGGGCTGTTTCCAGAACTTGGTTATTGTAAATAGTGCTGTTATTAACATAGAGGCGCAGAATTTCGTTTGAATTGGTGATTTGGGATTCTTAGAGTGCAGCCTCAAGGGGGAGGGCGAAAGGGTAGCGTTGGAACACGTATAGTGGATTAACAATAAAGAAGTAAAGTTATCCTCTCCCCCCCCCCCACACACAGAACGCTTACAGAAGAGACACATCTCAGTTTGCTCTGGATGAGCTGTCCAAGACCCAGTTCTGAATTCTCCATAACCTCTCGGGTTTCACATATAAAATAGGACAGACTCAGGGGAGATGGGACTGGCCCATGGTTTCGAGGGAAGCCTCCCAGGTACACATGCCCAGTCCCGTTCAAGGCTGGACTTGGTCTGGGTCAGCATGACCTCTGGACAGTAGATGAGCTGTCCTGACTTGGGGATCCTGTGATGACTATTGTGAATTTGCTTGCAACAGCAGGTTTGTGCTGTGCTTACATTAGGAAAAGGGATAAACACTTAGTGGACATGTTTGTAGCAGACATTTTGATAATTTGTTTTTCAGTTTTTAAAATGAAGCTCATGAGACAAAGTGAGAGGAAGTGGTGGGCAGTGTCCCCACACCACAGTCTGTACAGGGCACAAGGTGCCTGTCACACAGGAAGAGGACCAGGTGGTCCTCACTCTAAAAAGAGCAGGTTCTGAGGGTTTCACTTGAGCCACATCACTCAACACCCCCATGTCTCAAGTGTCACAGTTATTGTTCCTAAACTCTGTAATAGCATATTGATTTAACATAGCTTGCTGCCATTTGAAATCCGTATCAGTTACACAGTTTATGACATTCACTCTTCTTTGGCCAAACTTATATATAAAGTAGTTAATGATAGAAAACTATTTTCAGAAGAAATATGAAATTTGTCTCCCACCTAAGCTTTTATTTGGTTTAGTACCACTTTCATATTTTTTACACTCCTGACAAAGAGAAAGCAGTTAACTGGACAGTTTGGTTCTGCAGTTTTAGACGAGAAGAAAACTTGCAAAACTTGTTTTTGCTGAAATCATTTGCTGTGTGTGAGTCCAAACCCAGTTCCTTCTTTCTCTATGGAGTAGGGGCAAGAGGGAGGAAGAGGGAGAAGAAAAGAGAAGAGAAGGGAAGGGAAGGGGACTTGGTAAAGGTGTTGTAACAAATTACAACTAACTGCAGTGTTTCAGACAACAGAATTGTCTTTTTTATTGTTTCAGTACTGGATTCCAGAGAGAAAATTGAGAAATGGAGATACAAAAATGAAGAGATAGATAGGTAGATAAATAGATAGAGAGATAGAAAGGTAAAGAGAGAGACTGACTCACAGAAACATTGACACACAGATAGTTGATAAATGGATATATATGTGGATAGACTGAAAAACTCTCCAAAATTTGGTGTCATCAGAGCACATTACATTTTTTTTCACGCTATGTAAGTTATTGTTATCAAGGGTGCAGGTAATCTTACTGTTTTATTTCGATATAACTGACAGAACATTGTATACGTGTAAAATGTACAGTAGTTTGATTGGATACATTTATATGTTGCAGAATGGTACCGCCTCAGCTTAGGTGACAATAGTAGCAAGAAGTCATATAATGGCCACTTATTTTTTGAATAAGAATATTTCAGATGCCATCTCATAGCCCTTTTCCAGTATATAACACAGTCTTGTTAACTGTATCACTATGCTGTCCATTAGATTCACAGAAAATATGAATCTTATAACGGAAAGTCGAGATTCTCTCTCCTTTCTCCACACTCTCCATGGTAACCACGATTGCACTCTCTGTTTCTACACGCCTGGCTTTTATAGATTCCACATATACGGGGGTCATATTTGTTTTTCTCTGTGTGACTTGGCAGGGTTAACAACATGCCCTGAGTTCCTTTCATGTTGTCTTAAGTGTGAGGATTTTTTCTTCATTCTTCTGGTTGAGACCATTACAGATGTGTCCCTTTCCCCCCTTCTTTGCGCTCCTCCCCCAGCCCTCACGGCCCTTCCCTCTGGCCATCACCGCACCGTTGTCTGTGTCTAAGCATCAGGCATATATGCTCTTTGGCTGGTCCCTTCCCCTGCCTTTATCCGACCCCCTCCTCCCTCCCCTCTGACAGCTGTCAGTCTGTTGCATGTGTCCATGCCTCCGTTCACATATTTCTCCTTTATGGTGGTTCAACAATATTCCACTTTATATATATTCAGATCTGGAAAATTTCACAGATCATATCATTAAAAAAGGATTACTTTTTAAGGTGGTAGCCCACTAGGCTGTCCCTTCAAACATGAAGCGATGTCAGTTCTGGGGAAATGGTACACATGTCATCCGATGGAGACTGGAAGGATTGTGGGGTCTAGACTGGGTGGTGGCATCTGTTTGTACTTGTCTTTCCTGGGTCACAGCGATGTTTGCCCATGTATTGATTGAGTGATTCTGGGTTAAGTCCTGTGAACCGATGAGATGAAGACTCAATAATGTCCATCTGGTCATGTCGTAATTGGAAATAAAAAACTCTTTATTACATGGCCATGGAAGAGAGCATGAGGTTGTAGGTGTGCGGACCCAAACGAGCCATGTGGGATGGATCCTCCTTTCCTAGGGGTGAATAAAGAATGGGGGTCATTGCAGAAAGTCAGCAAAGATAAAGGGAGAGAAAAGTGGGCATTTAAAGGAGGAGGAGCCCTGCACAGGGAGCACTCAGGCACTCCCTGCACCCAGAGCTCATTTACTTCCCTTGACATTCTCAGCAGACAGTTCCCCACCTGGGGTCCAGACTGTCCTTCACCACCTCCTGCGCCATCAGATGGGCTCCATGGCTCCCCCACTCTGAAAAGTGCCCCTCTGTGTTGATGTCCCGGCTGCATCGTGGGCCCTCCTCTCGCTGACTCGAGCCTGAAGCAGCAGCACCCCGAGGACCACCAGCACCCATCCAGCCACGCCGATGCGGATGAAAACCTCCACTGTGTGGTCTGGGGGGAGGTTCAGAAATGTGGGAAAAGAGGTGACAGAGGCCAGAGAAGACAGAGTCACCCCAGCATCCAGGATGTCCATCCCGGACACCTGCCTCCCTCTGGCAGGACATGACCTCCCCTCTGCACCCAGCCTATTAACTGAGCGTTTCTGCTACTCCCAGCCTGAGGGTCGGACTTCTTTTCTGATGGGCTGATGGTGTCGGCTGCATCTGAGAGTCATGACATGAGGGTGTGAGTGAGGTCCTGCGGAGACAGGAGACTTTCTCGTGGGGTATAGGGTCTCCGATTCCTCACTATTCAGATCAAAACTTGTATATGGTCCATTCATGAGCCCTGTCTGTAATCTGCCAGGTACCCTATCTCCTCCTTCAATTATCTCAGCCTCTAGGTCTCTGAACCTGCGCAGGTCACTTTGGACAAGAGTTAACTGTGCCCCTGAGCTCAGGATTAGTAACAAAGTGGTCGCAATATAGAAATGTTTCAGTGCTGTGCTCTGTTCTGTCTGAGAGGCAAACCCCAAGCTCATTCAGCTCTAGCTGAGCTCCTGCTAACTCAACAGCTGATGATCTAGGATACATGCATGGGGGGTTGCAGTCAGGGTTTGCTGAGCATCCTCTTCTGTGGAGACCCCCCAACTCCCCCATTTATAACTCCCTCGGACTCTGAAGAGACAGAGCCCTGAAGTGAGTGAGCACAGACAGAGCAGGCTATATGTCCGCTCGCCTGAGGCCAGGAGCTCCAGGGTTCCCCACAGCCATGGGGAGGTGTGTGAGTGCTAGCACCTGTATGTCACCCCATGGGGAGAGGTCACAAGACTCCTGAGGAACTGGGCGAGGGGGGAATGCGCTGACCCTTTCATGGTCAAAGGAATGTATCCCTCAGGTTCCATGCCAGGCACAGCAGGGTCACATGCTCTCCTTATGCCACCACGTGGCCTGGCTGGACAGAGGTCGAGTCTGTCATGGAGCCATTCTAGAAAGAAGGACGTTCGGTGGAAAGGGGCTCTGCCTTCCTGAGCTCTGTGAGGCCCCTGAAGTGACTGATGTCACCTCAAGCCTGTGAACAGGAGGGGGCCAGACAGGAACTTCATATTCCGAGCAGAGAAGTGACCCTGAGCTCCACAGTGGGAGCCACAGAGGCGGGACCTGAACTGGTACGCATGAGCTCCCCAGAGACCCCACTTACAGGTCTGGTCTCCGGAATGTCTGCTGGAGCCTCCTTGATCCTCTGAGCTTCCTGGAAATTGCAGATGGGGGTGAGGGTTCAGGCTGCCTTCTCCCCACTTGAGTCCAGCTGTTCCTCCCCCAGCCATGGCCCCAACATGACCCTCTGTCTCCACCATCCTTCCATCACCGGCCAGGCTCCATGCCCTGGAATGCTGCGGTTCCAGCATCTCTGCTTGACTCCCAGCCCCTGGGACACACTTCTACCCCGGAGTGTCTGGGGGACATGTGACCCCCTGATGGACCCTCAAAACGTCGTGGGCTGGTCTGTGCTCCCTCTGAGCAGAGTTCACAGGGACTCACCGGCTGTGGAGACAGACCCTGTGGGTGGGGGACAGAGGCCTCCAGAGGGTCCTGGGAATGAGGACAGAGTGGGTGAGGGTGTGGGACTAACCCTGGGGTCATCATATCACCCAGACTCTTCTCCTCCATCTGCTCTATGGCCCCCAAGACACTCCCCCTTCCCTCCTACCACCTTCCTATCCTGGATGGGCAAGGCTGGGAGGGTCTTTGGGGTAAGGTCTCTGCTGGGCGACCATCACTCAGAACCCTGATTCTTCATCCAAACTCAGATGTCTGCAGCGGACAGGACCTTGAGCCGACTGAGCTCAGAACAAATGGGGTCAGAGGCCACTCACCTGAGACCAGGAGCTCCAGGCGGTCACTGGGGTGAGACCACTCCACGGGGTGCTTCCTAAAATATCCATAGCATCTGAACGTCCACCTGTGGCTGGGGGTCACGGGGCCCACAAGGAACAGGACCTGGGACTGCCCACTGGGGTCAGGCTGTGAGTCCAGGGTCCAGGAGTGCCCGCTTTCCCCTTCCTTAATCAGAGTGAACCCGTCCACTCCTTCCCGTGAGGCACACTGGAGGGTCACGTTTCCTCCTGAGGTCACGACAGGGCTGGGCAGGGCTGAGAGGCTGGGTTTGTCGTAGAATCCTTGGAGAGAAGGAGGCAGCAAGGTAGACGGAGTCAACCTCCCGCACATCCCCTGAGTTGGGGTATGAAGGGAGGCACTCTGAGAGCATCCCTCTTCCTGAGGGCCGAGCCTGAGGCTGGGACCCCCCTCACCTGTCAGCACCAGCTCCAAGGAGTTACTGAGTTCTGACCAGCCAGTGGGGCTGCGGTATTTACAATAATATCTCCCTGCATAGGGGTCTCTCATGGAGAAGTTGGCCTTGTCCGTTGTCGCCCCTGGTTTCTGTCTGTTCGAGAATTTATCCACATCTTTGTTCCACAGACAGTACTCCTGAGCCTCCAGGGACCCCTGACACCAGATGGTGACAGAGCTGTCTGAAGGGACCACCGGCCCCGGCTCAGCCCAGATGGTGGGACTGGGGAGGGCCCCTGGAAGAAATCAGAGGCGGCATTAGGAAGCCCTTTCCCTCCCGCATCCTCCAGCTCAGCCCTTGTCCCCCCTCTTTTATCCCCTCATCCCAGAACATCTTGTTCACTCCTGAGCCCCAGGATGAAGTAGGCGGTGGGACAGGGGGCCTGAGGAGGACTCACCATTCGGCTCGTGGGTTTTCTGGTCCAGACTCAGCCCTGGAAGAGTCCCTCTCAGATTTGCACCCGGATGTTGGAGCTGATTCCCTTTCCTTAGAGCCTCCACCCCTTGCGCTCCTGAGACTGGTGTTCCCCATGAACAAGCACGTGCCGCTAGGTGATCTTCTGCTGCCCCTTCCCCATGTCCCCACAACTGACTGAGGCAGAGAAGAGCAGGGAGGATGGACATCGTGCCGTCTGCTCTGAGTGGCCCCGCACTATAGGTGGATGGGACCCTGGGCCTGAAGGACAGAGACGTGCAGGATGTGGTGAGTCAGGGGCAGCCTCTGCCCTTCCGCCTTCCCATCTCCGCGACCCACAGCAAGGGGACCGCCCCACCCTGGGCTCTGGGTTTTTCCATGACGAGGGCTCAGGAGGACTCCTCATCTCTGGAGACTCTCAGCCCAGATCTGGGGCCTTTTCTCACCCCCTTGACCTTCTGTCTGCTCTGTGCTCCTTCTCAGAATGGGCGGATGCAGGCTGCGGTCCTTAGCTGACCACCAATTGACTTATTCTAAATAGACTTTGCTTCTTTTTTCTCAGGTTCCCACTAACGGAATTTACTTCCATATCTGACTTGTCCGTAAACAAATATTTACTGGTTACCTAGTGCAGCCAAATACCTGTGCGAGAAACGAATACACCCATAATTCAGGAGTCGGATTCTCTGTATCCTCAGAGCTCCTTTGTAGCACAAAGTGAACATTCTAAGTCTAAAGTGGAAATGACTTTACTTACACAGGAGAAATGAGAAAAAATATGAGAACACCTGGGACCATGCCTACACTGTGGGTGAAGGAACAGCTGTTTTTGCGTTTATCCTCATGGAAGGATATATTTATTGATTTTATAGAAAGAGGAAGGGAGAGACAGGCAGACTGACACTGATGAGAGAGAAAAACACCGATTGGTCACCTCTCCTATATGTCTGGACTGGGCACGAGGTGAGAAACTTTTTTTGGAGTGTATTTGGTGACACTCCAAGCAAGTAAGACCCCAAGCAGAGCTGAGGGAAGGGCTGTTTAATGAGGTGAAACCCGAGGAGGAGGGAGTGAGAATGAAAGGAAAAAAAAAGAGGGAACCCTAGTGACAGAGACTGGCTGATAGCACTGGGGCAGGGTGAGTTGGTGGCTGGTCAAAGGCAGGTTCACCCCGCGCAAGGACTTTGGAGTAAGTCTGTGAGGCAAAGGAATATGCAGGAATGGATGGCCACAATCAGACCGAGTTATGAATCTCATATGGGCTGTGTATTACAAAGGAACTAGAGCAATACAATATGTGTAAATCAAACATAATGTCGACACTAATTGAACTCCAATCCTGCATGTGTCCCAGAATATTAGGTCAAAGGCTTACAAGGATTTACCACGTATCATGCATGATTTTTAGCTGTCACATCACATGTACAGAAGAGAAGGAGGAGAAGAAATCTCAGTGTTACTTCTGGTCCTGGGCTTTTAGCGGGAAAGTAGGGAAGGAATTTGCTACTTCTCTATAACTCTAAGAAGCAGATATGGCAGGAGAACAGAAATGCTCAATGGGAATGGAGTGAATGTGTCTGTAGGTGTGTGTAACTGCATATGTGTGTGAGTGTATAGTGTGGGAATGGTTGTGTGAGTATGTGTGAGGGTGTGTGTGGTTGTGTGGGTATGTACGTCTGCAGGAGTATGTGTGACTATGTGTATGCGCGTGAGTGTATCTATGAGGTATATGTGTCAGTCTGTGAGTAAGTGTATGTGTGCATCAGTGTTTGAGATTGAGTGTGTGAGTGGCTGTGTGTTCACAGGTAACTACCCCTGCTGGTGGGTGACAGCAGAAGGGCGAGCTGACGGTGGAGGGTCCCATGTGGATGATCATGAATAGCCATCAGTGCAGAAGTCTAAAATATGACCCTAAAATGAGTGAGGACTATATATGGATTTTGAGCAGAAATGGAGAGATTCCTAAAGACGGTTGGGAAGACTGGGTGGAGGGTGGCTGGGAGAAGAGACAAAGGGTGCGGGACTCAGAACCCAGCAGAAGGTGCAGCAGAAGGTGGCTGCTGCCTTGGTAACATGAAGGGTGACCTTCCCTCCCTGCCTTGATGACTAGAGACCCAAGAAGCCATCATGACGATAAGCAAGGGGACAGTGGTTGGACAAGCCCGAGAGTGTGTGCAAACACTCTGTTCCCCAAGGAGAGATCAGTGCTTCCTTTTTGCCCTGGAATGCAGGGTCCATGTCTCACACTCTTTCCACCTGCTTCTGTGTCTCTGAGAGAAGTGGGCTGTTTCTCTCTCCCTCTCCTTGGGGTGAATCATTTGAGTCATTTCTCCCTCCACAAAGCACTTTTGATGTTGAGTGTCATGAATTTATTTGACCTGTGGAGACTCTTGAGGAGTCAGGAAAAATGGAGACTCACGGGAGTTCCGTTAGAGACAGAAAAATACCCCCCACACTTGAAATATCAGTTGCTGCAATACCACATCCCGAATGGCTGAAGGACCCTTGAACAGCCTGCTTCCTCTGTTGCTCTCACTTCCTCCATTTGTAGCCCAGTGGTACCAACCCCACGCCCCCCCCCCCCCGCAACAAGTGCGCTCAGAATTTACACTGCCTGAGGTATGAGGGAAAGGAAATCAGTCATTGAGATGTAGATGAACGGAGGAAGTTTCAGAAAGTGAAAAGCAGAGATACCCTGCCCGATGGAGCAGAGGGAAGGCAGTGCAGAGTCACATGATCATGACAGAGACGCCTGGAGTGCAGAGGACAGACCCTGTTCCTCCCGTCACTGGTGCAGGGCCAGCTGCGGAGGGGGGCGTCTATGGACCAAACTGAACTTGACCCCTGCTTTACCCCATATGCAAAAACAATGCGAGATGGATGACAGACTGAAGAGTTAGCCAGTCAGTTTTTCTTAACACAAATGTAAAAAATACTCATTGTTTGTGGTAAGCTTTTCTAAAATGATTTTTAAATTGCCATTCTATTACGTTGTCCCATTTCCCCCTTTGCTCTCCCCTGCCCATCACACCTCCTGCTCTCACAGTCCATCCCCACTCTGCAGTGCATGTCTATGTGTCACGCACACATGTTCTTTCACTAGTCCCTTTCCCTTTCATCCAGTATCATCCCTCCTCCCCCTCCTCTCTGGTCTCTGTCGTTCTGTCCCATGGTTCCATGTCTGTGGTTTGATTATCTTCATTAGTTTATTTTGTTCATCATATTCCTCCTATAGGTGAGATCAAGTCGTATTTGTCTTTCACCGACTGGCTTATTTCACTTAGCATAAGATTCTCCAGTTCCATCCATGATGGGAAAGGTAGGAGTTCCTTTTTTCTTTCTGCTGCATAGTATTCTATTGTGTAAAGGTTCCACAGATTTTATCCCGCTGATTTGCTGGTGGGCACGTGGGCTGTTTCCAGAACATGGTTATTGTAAATAGTGCTGTTATTAACATAGAAGCGCGTGATTTCTTTTGAATTGGTGACTTGGGATTCTTAGAGTGACAGCTCATCGGAAGGGCGGGATGTGCGGAGGAGGGCAAAGGATACAGTTGGAACACGAGTATAGGGATTAACAATTAAAGAAATAAAATTAAACATCCCCCCCCCCCAACCACACAGAACCCTTAGAGAAGAGACACATCTCAGTTTGCTCTGGAAATGAGCTGTCCAAGACCCAGTTCTGAATTCTCCATAACCTCTCGGGTTTCACATACAAAATAGTACAGAATCAGGGGAGATGGGGCTGGTCCATGGTTTCGAGGGAAGCCTCCCAGGTACACATGCCCAGTCCCGCTCAAGGCTGGACTCGGTCTGGGTCAGCATGACGTCGGGACAGTAGGCGAGCTGTCCTGACTTGGGGATCCTGTGGTGACCATTGTGTATTTGCTTTGCAACAGCAGAAGTTTGTGCTGTTCTTACATCAGGGAACAGGGTAAACTCTCAGTGGACGTTGTTTCTAGCAGATCTCTTGGATGACATGTTTTTCAGTTTTTAAAGTGAAGCTCAAGAGACAAAGTGAGAGGATGTGGTGGGCAGTGTCCCCACGCCACGGTGTGTACAGTGCCAAGGTGCCTGTCACACAGGAAGAGGACCAGGTCTCCTCACCCTAAAAATAGCATGTGCTGAGGGTCTCAGCTGAGCCATCATAACTAAACACCCCTCATGTCCCAAGTGTCACAGTTAGTTTTCCTAAACTCTTCAATCGCATATTGATTTTCCATTGCTTGCTGCCATTTGAAATCGACGTACCAGTTACTACAGCTTATGACAGTCACTGTTCTTTGGCCAAGCTAATATATAAAAGGGTTAATGATATGAAAACTATTTTCAGGAGAAATATGAAATTTGTCTCCCACCTAACTATTATGAGGCCTTGTATCACTTGCATATTTTTTACTCTCATGAGAAAGAGAAAGCATTTAACTGTCCAGTTTTGCTCTGCTTTTTTAGAAGAGAGGAAAACTTGCAAAACTTGTTTTTTGCTGAAATCATGTGCTGTGATGTGAGTCAAAACCCAGCTTTGATGAGTGGGGCAAAGGGAGAAAGAGAAGAGAAGGGGAGGATGGGGGCTTGGTAAAGGTGTTGTACACTAAATTACAACAAAGTGCAGGGCCTCAGACAACAGAATTGTCTTTTTAATTGTTTCAGCACTGGAGGCCAGAGAGATAATTGACAGATCGAGATATATAAATGAATAGATAGATAAGCAGATAAATAGATAGAGAGATAGACCAAGTAAAGAGAGAGCTGACCCAGAACATTGACACACAGATAGAAGATAAATGGATACATAGGTGGATAGACTGAAAACCTCTCCAACATTTGGTATCCGAGCACATTACATTTTTCTACGCTATGTAAGTTATTCTTATCAAGTGTGCAGGCAATCTTACCGTTTTCTTTAGATATAACTGACAGTAACATTGTATAAGTGTAAAAGGTACAGTAGTTTGATGTGATACATTTATATGTTGCAATATGGTACCACCTCAGCTTTAGGTGACAATAGTATGCAAGAAGTGATATGCCAACCACTTACTTTTTGTGAGGAAGAATCTTTCAGATGCACTCTCATAGCCCCTTTTCCAGTATATAACACAGTCTTGTTAACTGTAATCACCATGCTGTCCATTAGATGTCCCAGAAAATATGAATCTTATAACGGAAAGTCGAGATTCCTCTCTCCTTTCCCCACACTCTCCATGGTAACCACGATTCCACTCTCTGTTTCTACACACCTGGCCTTTCTAGATTCCACATATACGTGGGCTCATTCAGATGTGCTTTTTCTCTGTGCGATCTGGCAGAGTAAACAACATGCTCTGAAGATCCACTCATGTTGTCTTGAAGCGCGAGGATTTTTCTTCATTCTTCTGGTTGAGACCATTACAGATGTGTCCCAGTTTCCCCCCCTCCTTTGCCTGCCTCCACCAGCCCTCACGGCCCTTCCCTCCGGCCATCACCGCACCGTTGTCTGTGTCTAAGCATCAGGCATATCTGCTCTTTGGCTGGTCCCTTCACCTACCTTTACCCGACCCCCTCCTCCCTCCCCTCTGACAGCTGTCCAGTCTGTTGTATGTGTCCATGCCTCTGTTTACATATTTGGGCTCCTTTATGGTGGTTCAACAATATTCTACTTTATATATATACAACTCTGGAAGAATTCACAGATCATATCCTTAAAAAAGCAAAACTTTTTAAGGTGGCAGCCCACTAGGCTGTCTCTTCAAACACCAAGCGATGCCAGTTCTGGGGAAACGGTACACATGGCATCCGATGGAGACAGGAAGTATCGTGGGGTCCTAGACGAGTGGTAGGCACCAGTTTGTACTCGTCTTTCCAGGGTCACATGCGATGTTTGCCCATGTATTGATTGATTGATTCCAGGTTAAGTCTTCTGAACCGATGAGATGAAGACTCCAATAACGTGCCTCTGGTCATGTCGTAATTGGAAATAAAAAACTCTTTATTACATGAGCCTGGAAGAGAACATGAGGTTTTAAGTGTGCGGCCCGAAACAGCCATGTGGGATGGATCCTCATTTCCTAGGGGTGAATAAAGAAGGGGGGTCATTACGGAAAGTCAGCAAAGATAAAGGGAGAGAAAAGCGGGCATTTAAAGGAGGAGGAGCCCTGCACAGGGAGCACTCAGGCACTCCCTGCACCCAGACCTATTTGGACTTCCCTTGACATTCTCAGCAGACAGTTCCCCACCTGTGGTCCAGACTGTCCTTCACCACCTCCTGGGCCATCAGCTGGGCTCCACGGCTCCCCCACTCTGAAAGGTGCCCCGACCCTCTGTGTTGATGTCCCGGCTGCATCGCGGGCCCTCCTCTCGCTGAATCGTTAACCCTGAAACAGCAGCACCCCGAGAACAACCAGCACCCATCCAGCCACGCCGATGCGGATGAAAACCTCCACTGTTTGGTCTGGGGGGAGGTTCAGAAATGAGGGAAAAGAGGTGACAGAGGCCAGAGAAGACAGAGTCACCCCACCATCCATGGTGTCCACCCTGGACACCTTTCTCCCTCTGGCAGGACATGACCTCCCCTCTGCACCCAGCCCATTAACTAGCGTTTCTACTACTCCCCAGTCTTAGGGTTGGACTTCTTTTCTGATGGGCTGATGGTGTCGGCTGCATCTGAGAGTCATGAAATGAGGGTGTGAGTGAGGTCCTGCGGAGAAAGGAGACTTTCTCGTGGGGTATAGGGTCTCCGATTCCTCACTATTCAGATCAAAACTTCTATATGGTCCGTTCATGAGCCCTGCCTCTACTCTGCCAGGTTCTCTATCTCCTCCTTCAATTATCTCAGCCTCTAGTGCTCTCAGAACCTGCGCAGATGCCACTTTGGACAAGAGTCAACTGTGCCCCTGAGCTCAGGATTAGTAACAAAGTGGTCGCAATATAGAAATGTTTCAGTGCTGTGCTCTGTGCTCTGTCTGAGAGGCAAACCCCACGCTTATTCAGCTCTAGCTGAGCTCCCACTAAGTCAACAGCTGATGATCTAGGATACATGGAGGGCTTGCAGTCAGGGTTTGCTGAGCAGCCTCTTCTGTGGAGACCTCCCAACTCCCCCATTTATAACTCCCTCCGACTCTGAAGAGACAGAGCCCTGAACTGAGTGAGCACAGACAGAGCAGGCTATATGTCGGCTCGCCTGAGGCCAGGAGCTCCAGGGTTCCCCACAGCCATGGGGAGGTGTGTGAGTTCTAGCACTTTTATGTCACCCCATGGGGAGAAGTCACAAGACTCATGAGAAACTGGGCAAGGGGGGAATGTGCTGATCCTTTCATGGTCAAAGGAAAGTATCTCTCAGACTCCATTCCTGGCACAGCAGGGTCACATGCTCTCCTTATGCCACAACGTGACCTGTCTGGACCGAGATGGAGCCTGTCATGGAGCCATTCTAGAAAGAAGGACGTTGGGTAGGAATGGGGCTCTGCCTTTCTGAGTTCTGTGAGGCCCCTGAAGTGACTGATGTCACCATAGGCCTGTGAACAGGAGGGGGCCAGACAGGAACTTCATACTTCAAGCAGAGAAGTGACCCTGAGCTCCACAGTGAGAGCCACAGAGGCGGGACCTGAACTGGGACCCATGAGCTCCCCCGAGACCCTCACTTACAGGTCTGCTCTCCGGAATCTCTGCAGCAGCCTCCTTGATCCTCTGAGCTTCCTGGTAGTTGCAGATGAGGGTGAGGGGTCAGATTGCCTTCTCCCCACTTGAGTCCAGCTGTCCCTCCCCCATGAACAAGAATGTGCCGCTGCCCCATCTCCTGCTACCCCGTCCCCATGTCCTCACAACTGACCGAGGCAGAAAAGAGCAGGGAGGATGGACATCGTCCTGTCTGCTCTGAGTGTCCCCACACTGCATGTGGATGAGACCCTGGCCTGAAGGACAGAGACGCGCAGGATGTGGTGAGTCAGGGGCGGCCACTGCCCTTCCGCCTTCCCATCTCCACGACCCACAGCAAGGGGACGGCCCCGCCCTGGGCTCTGGGTTTCTCCGTGACGAGGGCTCAGGAGGACTCCTCATCCTCTGGAGACGCTCCGCCCAGATCTGGGGCCTCTTCTCACCCCCGTGACCCTCTGTCTGCTCTGTGCTCCTTCTCAGAATGGGCGGACCCAGGCTGTGATCCTCAGCTGACCACCAATAGACTTATTCTAAACAGACTTTGCTACTTTTTCTCAGGTTCCCACTAACGGAATTTACTTCCATATCTGACTCGTCCGTAAACAAATATTTACTGGTCACCCAGTGCAGTCAAATACTCGTGCCAGAAACGAATACACTCATAATTCAGGAGTCTGATTCTCTGTATCCTCAGAGCTCCTTTGTAGCAGAGAGTGAACATTCTTCGTCTAAAGTCGAATTGACTTTACTTACACAGGAGAAATGTGAAAAATATGAGAACATCTGGGAGCATGACTATGCTGTGGTTGAAGTAACAGCTGTTTTTTTATTTTTTATCCTCATGGAAGGATATATTTATTGATTTTATAGAAAGAGGAAGGGAGAGACAGGCAGACTGACACTGATGAGAGAGAAAAACATTGATTGGTCACCTCTCCTATGTGTCCGGACTGGGCAGGTAGCTGACAATCTTTTGGCGTATTTGGTGACACTGCAAGCTAAGTAAGACCCCAGCCAGGGCTGAGGGAAGGGCTGTTTAATGATGTGAAACCCGAGGAGGAGGGAGTGAGAATGTTTTTGAGAAGAACAAATATTAGGAACTCTAGTGACAGAGACTGACTGATAGCGGTGGGGCAGGGTGAGTTGGTGGCTGGTCAAAGGCAGGTTCACCCCGCGCAAGGACGCAGGATTAAGTCTGTGAGGCAAAGGCATATGCAGGAATGGATGGCCACAATCAGACCGAGTTATGAATCTCATATGGGCTGTGTATTACAAAGGAACTAGAGCAATACAATATGTGTAAATCAAACATAATGTCAGCACTAATTGAACTCCAATCCCATGTGTCCGAGAATATTAGATCAAAGGCTTACAAGGATTTACCATGTATCATGCATGGTTTTTAGCTGTCACATCACATGTACAGAAGAGAAGGAGGAGAAGAAATCTCAGTGTTACTTCTGGTCCTGGGCTTTTAGCGGGAAAGTAGGGAAGGAATTTGCTACTTCTGTATAACCCTAAGAAGCAGATATGGAGGAGAATAGAAATGCTCAATGGGAATGTGTCTGTAGGTGTGTGTAACTGCGTATGTGTGTGAGTGTATATGTGGGAGTGGTTGTGTGAGTGTGTGTGAGGGTGTGTGTGGTTGTGTGGGTATGTATGTCTGCAGGAGTATGTGTGACTACGTGTATGCGCGTGAGTGTATCTATGAGGTATATGTGTCAGTCTGTGAGTAAGTGTATGTGTGCATCAGTGTTTGAGATTGAGTGTGTGAGTGGCTGTGTGTTCACAGGTAACTACCCCTGCTGGTGGGTGACAGCAGAAGGGAGAGCCGAGGGTGTAGGGTCCCATGTGGATGATCATAAATAACCATCAGTTCAGAACTAAAATGAGTGACCCTAAAATGAGTGAGAACCATGGAAGGATTTTGAGCAGAAATGGAGAGATTCCTGAAGACGGTTGGGAAGACTGAGTGGAGGGTGGCTGGGAGAAGAGACAAAGGGTGTGGGACTCAGAACCCAGCAGAAGGTGCAGCAGAAGGTGGCTGCTGCCTTGGTAACATGAAGGGTGACCTTCCCTCCCTGCCTTGATGACTAGAGACCCAAGAAGCCATCATGACGATGAGCAAGGGGACGGGGGTGGGACGAGCCCGAGAGTGTGTGCAAACACTCTGCTCCCCAAGGAGAGCTCAGTGCTTCCTTTGGGCCCTGGAACGTAGGGTCCATGTCTCACACTGTGTCCACCCAACTCTGTGTGTCTGAGAGAAGTGGGCTGTTTCTCAATCCCTCTCCTTGGGGTGAATCATTTGAGTCATTTCTCCCTCCACAGAGCACTTTTGATGTTGAGTGTCAAGAACTTATTTGACCTGTGGAGACTCTTGAGGAGTCAGGAAAAATGGAGACTCACGGGAGTTCCGTTAGAGACAGAAAAATACCCCCCACACTTGAAATATCAGTTGCTGCAATACCACATCCCGAATGGCTGAAGGACCCTTGAACAGCCTGCTTCCTCTGTTGCTCTCACTTCCTCCATTTGTAGCCCAGTGGTACCACCCCCCGCCCCCGCAACAAGTGGGCTCACAATTTACACTGCCGGAGGTATGAGGGAAAGGAAATCAGTCATTGAGATGTAGATGAACGGAGGAAGTTTCAGAAAGTGAAAAGCAGAGATACCTTGCTTGATGGAGCAGAGGGAAGGCAGTGCAGAGTCACGTGATCATGACAGAGACGCCTGGAGTGCAGAGGGCTGACCCTGTTCCTCACGTCACTGGTGCAGGGCCAGCTGGGGGGTGGTCTATGGACCAAACTGAACTTGACCCCTGCTTTACCCCATATGCAAAAAAATGCGAGATGGATGACAGACTGAAGAGTTAGCCAGTTAGTTTTTCTTTACACAAAGGTAAAAAATACTCATTGTTTGTGGTAAGCTTTTCTAAAATAATTTTTAAATTGCCATTCTATTACGTTGTCCCATTTCCCCCCTTTGCTCTCCCCTGCCCATCACACCCCCTGCTCTCACAGTCCATCCGCACTCTGCAGTGCGTGTCTATGCGTCACGCACACATGTTCTTTCACTAGTCCCTTCCCCTTTCATCCACTATCGTCCCTCCTCGCCCTCCTCTCTGGTCTCTGTCGTTCTGTGCCAGGGTTCCATGCCTGTGGTTTGATCATCTTCATTGGTTCATTTTGTTCATCATATTCCTCCTATAGGTGAGATCAGGTGGTATTTGTCTTTCACCGAGTGGCTTATTTCACTTAGCATAAGATTCTCCAGTTCCATCCATGATGGGAAAGGTAGGAGTTCCTTCTTTCTTTCTGCTGCACAGTATTCTATTGTGTAAAGGTTGCACAGATTTTAACCCGCTGATTTCCTGGTGGGCACGTGGGCTGTTTCCAGATCGTGGTTATTGTAAATAGTGCTGTCATGAACATAGAAGCGCGTGATTTCTTTTGAATTGTTGACTTGGGATTTTTAGGGGACAGCGTCATGGGAGAGGGCGGTGGGATGTGTGGAGGAGGGCAAAGGGATACAGTTGGAACCCGAGTGAGGGATTAACATTTAAAAAAATAAAATTAAACAGCCCCTCCCCCCAACACACAGAACCCTTAGAGAAGAGACACATCTCAGTTTGCTCTGGAGAAAGGGTGGAGCTGTCCAAGAACCAGTTCTGAATTCTCCATTACCTCTCGGGTTTCACATACAATATAGTACAGAATCAGGGGAGATGGGGCTGGTCGATGGTTTTGAGGGAAGCCTCCCAGATACACGTGCCCAGTCCTGCTCAAGGTTGGACTCGGTCTGGGTCAGCACGACGTCGGGACAGTAGGCGAGTTGTCCTGATTTGGGGATCCTGAGGTGACCAATGTGTATTTGCTTTGCAGCATCAGAAGTGTGCTGTTCTCACATCAGGGAACAGGGTAACGTCTCAGTGGACGTTGTTCTAGCAGAGCTTTGGATGACTTGTTTTTCAGTTGTTAAGGTGAAGCTCAAGAGCCAAAGTGACAGGATGTGGTGGGCAATGTCCCCACACCACGGTGTGTTCAGTGCAAGGTGCCTGTCACACAGGAAGAGGACCAGCTCTTCTCACCCTAAAAATAGCAGGTGCTGAGGGACTGAGCTGAGCCATCTAACTAAACACCCCTCATGTCCCAAGTGTCACATTTAGTTTCCCTAAACTCTGCAATCACATATTGATTTTCCATTGCTTGCTACCATTTGAAATCGACGGCCATTCTACAGCTTATGACAGTCAGTGTTCTTTGGCCAAGCTAATATATAAAAGGGTTAATGATATGAAAGTATTTTCAGGAGACATACGAAATTTGTCTCCAACTTCATATTAATGAGGCCTTGTATCACTTGCATATTTTATACTCTCATGAGAAAGAGAAAGCTGTTAACGGGCCAGTTTAGCTCTGCTTTTTTAGAAGAGAGGAAAACTTGCAAAGTCTTGTTTTTTCCTCAAATCATGTGTTGTGATTGAGTGAAAACCCAGTGACGGGGCGGGGGGTAATGGGGTTTGGTAAAGTTGTTACACTAAATTACAACAAAGTGCAGGGCCTCAGACAACTGAATTTTTTAATTGTTTCAGCACTGGAGGCCAGGTGATAATTACAGATCGAGATATATAAGTGAATAGATAGATAAGCAGATAAAGAGACAGAGATAGAGCCATAAAGAGAGAGAGACTGACACACAGATAGAAGATAAGTGGATACATCGGTGAAGAGACTCACAAACCCTCCGACATTTGCTATCCGATCACATCCCACTTTCCTGCTCTAGGTAAGTTTTTCTTAGATCAAGTGTGCAGACAGTTTTTCCAGCTTTCTGAAGATATAACTGACAGATAACATTGTGTAAGTGTAAAGGGTACAGAGGGGTGATGTGATACATTTATATGTTGCAATATGATACCACGTCAGCTTTAGCTACCAAGAGTATCAAGAAGTGACATGCCAACCACTTACTGTTTGTGGGGAGAATCTTTCAGGTACACTCCCGTAGCCCCTTTCCCGTATATAACACAGCCTTGTTAACTGTAATCAGCATGCTGTCCGTGATGCCCCCAGGGGGTGGTGTTCTCGTAATGGAAGGGTGGAGCTCTTTGACCCGCATCTCTCCCTTCCAAAGCCTCCCCGCGGTAACCCCCATTCCATCTCTGTTAATACCCATTTGGCCTTTCTAGATTCCGCATATACATGGG